GGAAATTTTCTTCAATAATGAAGGGGCGGTTGCCTTAACCAAGGAACCGAGAGATCATGGAAGGTCTAGACATATCAACAGAAAGTACCACTTTATAAGACATCAAGTAGAAGAAGGCCACCTCGTTGTGAAGAGGATATTATCAGAGGACAACCCAGCAGATCCCCTTACAAAGGGATTGACCAGGGTTAAGCACTTGCAGCATGCGAGAGGCATTGGGCTAAAGGACGATATTAGTTTTAGTGATTAGATAAACTGAAACTTGTAATATCTAAGTTGTAATTGACATTTGATGTTTAAATAAAAGGAGTTTTATTTACAAGTAAAGTTACTGTCCTGTGTGAATTATTTACTATTGTTTCACTTTCCATGTTTTAACTTCTAGAATCTTAAGATTTATTCAAAATATCCACAGTCGATCATACTTTGGAAGTAGGTATGAAGGAAGACTGTCATGAGTTGGCTTGCAGGATTGTCTAAGGAGTTAGGCATAGCAACAGGTTTGCTACACTATTCATGAGTACTTCTGAAATAATATTTGATTACTGGATCATCCCGCGCTCACTTGAATCACTTCATGGAATTTATCAGGAGTGATCGGGAGACGATAATATCATATAAGTCTTCAAACCTAGATATATGTGTTGTTGACTATGAGTTAGTTATGCATTGATGGCATAAAAACGCATCAGTAACTTGATGTTATAAAACGTGTCGTTGTGCATGATTTAATAAGTAGTTAGTACAAGCATTTAATGTCGAAGTTTATCCGTGCTCTTTTATCCTAAGAGGATTAAAAGTGATATCTTGGGACCCTTGATGATTTTGTTCTGACCTATGTGTCGGGCCTAGTCTGAACTACATTGATGTGTTCAGTTATGTTCTATGTTAGTCGAATCAGAAATCGGGAAACAAATATGGCATTGTTCCATGTTTTTTTCCACCTGATATCTTAAGAACATAGGATTATATGATTCCTTATCTAAAGGATGCGGCACTGACTGGGTCAGAGTTGATAGCGGATTTTGAAAGCTTACGATTGCTAAGTCGGATCCTAAAGTCACATTAGCAGCTATAGTTATTAGACTTATCCAAGTAGGAGATTGTTGGATTTGATGTCTAAGCCCATAACTATAAATGGGATGTACTTGAACCGATAGTAGCATGGTACACTAGTACAAAAAAGGCCTATGGTCACACTTTCCGAAAAACAGCCTGTGACAATTTTTATTAAAAGTGTGGCCAAAGGTCATTAAAAAAATTTAGAGACTGTTTTTGGATACATTTAAATTAGTTTATGTGGCCATTATATAGATAATAAAAACTTTAACCACACTTAATTATACCAAATGTGACAAATATTAGACACACTCGAACACTAAGGCTATAGGTCACAAGCAGCCACATGTATCGATTATTGTAACGACCCGTCTCTGGTATGTTGCTTTTTAGTATTTATTTTTGAAGTTTGTAGAGGAACTCGGTGAGTCTATGTCCCGACTCGTCGAGTAGGGTCGCATTGTTGATCAGCTTATAGATTGGCGACTCGGCGAGTCCAAATTCGGGACTCGGCGAGTCGGCCTGCCAGGTTGAAACCCTAAATCTCCGGGTTTGCACCCTATTTAAACCACCTTATCAGCCCCAAACTCGCCTCCTTCACCTCAGAGAGCTGTGAGAAACCCTAAACCCATACCTTGCTTGATTAAAGTGTCTTTGTGTGGATTCTTGAAGGCTTGAAGAAGAAGAAGAAGAAGAAAGGAACAAAGAGAAGAGGTGTAGAGCAAAGATCCAAGGTCAGAATCAGAGTTCTTTGAGGTATTTCTCGGAATCCTCCTGTTTTATGCTTAAAATCTCCATTAGAACATTTCTAGGGTTAGTTTGATGTATTTTTCCAACCTTATAGTTGAATGGATGCCTTAATAGGTCGAGATATTCTTAGATCTGTTCATTTGGGAGTTGTAGAGCCTAGATCTATTGCCTTTTTGAAGTTGCTTTGTATGAGAACCCTAGATCGAGCCTTTATCATGCTTTTTGAACCTTAATATCTTCTTGGATGCTTATGTACATGTAAAGATAGAATCTTTACGTGTTAATCGAACTAAGGAAGCCCAGATCTATAAGTTTTAGATGCTGGATTCAAGCAGAATCGAGTTTAGAGTAGCTGCATGGATGCGACTCAGCGAGTCGGAAGAACGACTCGGCGAGCCAAGCCGCGAGTCTTGATTTTTCCCCTTTTGAGTGATGTCGAGTGGGAACCTATGAGTAGTAGAGTGGACTCAATGAGTTGGAGGGCAGACTCAGTGATGGAGGGACTCGACGAGTTGTTCATACAACTCGGCGAGTCCAAGGCAATCTTTGTATGATTCAAGAACAACTCGTCGAGTTGTTCATACAACTCGGCGAGTCGGATGCAGATGACCTGAGTGTTGATATAGAGCAGGAACTCGTCAAGTGTATGCCATACTCGATGAGTAGCAGCGAGCAGGGTTGAGAAATGAGAGTAGGGACTCGGCGAGTTGGCAGCCCAACTCGGCGAGTCAGGTCAACTGTAAAGTTGACTTTGACCAGGAGAGTTGACTTTAGCCAGGGGTAAAAGAGTCATTTAACCCAATACAGTTATTAGTAATTTGATTGAGTGTATTTGTGGAATTGTAGCCGGGGAGATACCGGAGCAGCAACAGATAGTTCCCGGAGCCACACACTCAGCAGCCAGATCACGAGGTGAGTTTCCTTTCAGTAGGAACGGGTCTAAGGCCACAATGCCGACCCGTTTAGCTAGCAGTAGTTTCCGGACTTCGGTCCGATGCAGATTCTAGTATGTTTGATGTCTTCGTGGCTCAGACAGGATTTTGTGTTATGTGTTCCGGGTTACATCCCGATGTAGTATGCTATCTATGTGCTCATGTTAGTTGATATGCCTATGTGATGCTATGTTCAGTATGTTCCGGACTTCTGTCTGATGCAGTCAGTTCCGGACTTCGGTCCGATGCAGTTAGTTCCGGACTTTGGTCCGATGCAGGAGGCAAGGCCTCAGTAGTTCCAGATTTCAATCTGATGCAGAGGGCAAGGCCTTGGCTAGTTCCGGACTTGGTCCGATGCAGTTTCCAGACTTTGGTCCGATGCAGTGGGCAAGGCCCAGTATATGTTTATATGTATTATATGATATGTGGTAGCTTGGGGAGCTCACTAAGCTTCATGCTTACTTATTCAGTTTTGGTTTCAGGTACTTCCGCAAGCAAAGGGAAGAGCTTGGGTTGATGACATCGCACACACCACAGCTTCAGCTATCCTGGGAGTTGTTTTGGTTTTCATAGATGTGATTGATATAGTCTTGATACAGCTTACTCATAACACTTTACTTTTGTTTGTAAGATATTGACGTACGAGTTTACCTTATGATTTTATCATGGTGTTTTAGTAATTATTCAACAAAAATTTTTGGGTCGTATTTTGGGATGTTTCAATTATGATTATCATACATTTTTTATGAGAGACGGTAGATAAACGTATTATGACATGAGTCAGTTGTATGTGTGTCTATAACCTGGTGCCTTTTAGCCACATAACAGATAAAGTAGCTAAAATGTGATACATATGGTCACACTAAATACTTGTGTGTCTATAGGGGTTTCTAAACTAGTTGTACTTAGTTAACACAAGAAAAGAAAACAAGTTAGTATTGGTTATTTATGGTCATGTACCTTTTATTATTTGTGTCAAAATATGATGAATTGTCTTGAAAAAAAATTGTGAGTGTAAGTGGAATTTGGTTATAGTTAAAATTATTATGTGTGTCTATAGGTAAATCTAGTTATAAAAGAAAAATAATTTGTGATCAATATAATTATAGTATGATCATTGAATGTTTGAATATGTTTATATAATGATCATTGTTTTCGTGCTACTGTATGTTTAAAGAATAGTCATTGTTTTCATGCTACTATATGCTTAAAGAATAGTCATCATAAAATGAAAATGTGTTGTTGTAAGTATTTACCGGTGACTTATTAATATATTGTGAACTTGGTTAAGAATCTGGTTAACAAAAATAAAGAACACCAAAATACCCTTTGTTAACAATTTAACGATTTGATTTCTATAGAGTTATTGAGTCCCACCGAAATTGCATTACATATGATTAGACTTTGCGATGGTTTTTTGCAAAAAAAAATGTCATTTTTTCGTTTGAAGATCGTTGGAATTGCCTATCAAATGAGTTTTCGTTATATTACAGTTTAATTGTTGGGACCTATTTTGGAGTGATGTCATGTACAAAACCAATAGTTAAAGTTGATTTTTAATGACTAGCATGCACACTAAAACAAACTTTCAAGAAACATATTCTTCTCTTTTATGCAAGTAACTATCGTTTTTAGCAAGCTCCGACGAAAACTATAAATATTATAAACATACATCAGAAATTTACAAACAATTATTTTTATACAATATAGGCCACAAATCTTCAATACCTTGTTTTTTTTTTCTTTCACAAATATAACCAATTGAAATCTGTCTCTCCAAGCTAAAGCAATTTAGTTGAAGAATACCATATGCATCATATTGATACGAATATTAGATAAACTCTTTAACAGCTCACAAAAGTGTATAATTTATATATTAAATATTTAGTATTTTTATTGGTTAACCTATTTAATTAAATATTCAAAATAAAAAATAAATGTATTTACAAAAAATATTATAAATGTAAGGCCTTTATTAAACAAAAAGAAAAGCTAGTACATGTACTATCACACAGAAAGATATTGAAAATAAAGAAAGAACTTTCTTTCTTTTTGTGATTTTTTACATTGATTTCCACTACAATCAACACAAGCCCCAAAAACTATCTTAAAGTATATCTTCTATTTCTTTTCCCTTAATTACAAATGTACCCATTAGTAACGATAGCATATCTCCTTATGACCATCTGTTGTCTTGTATCCATCATCATCATGGAATAGGTAAATGATGTTGTTGTTGCTATTTGTGTCACCAATGAGTTACTCCACTTCCTCAAGACCACTTTCAAAGTTATTTAAATTATACACTTTTTGTTTCTGATTAGTGTAGTCATGGTTAATGATGAAACTCTGGTTGTGATATTTAAAAACCTGAAGAGTAAATTCCTCTTGTTTGATCTGATGTTGTTGTTTCTTGTGATAATGATCTTTATTGAAATTTTCATATCTAGTGTGACTCAAAGAACTCCATGCTTCAGAGGAGGAACCAGTTGTGCACACTTTATGACCCTCACCACCACTTCCAAACATTAGCATTGGTTCTTTCACATATGTTGTAGGATAGTGGCATTCTATAGGGGTATTGTACATGCTCTAATGATTCTCATGATAACCTAAATAGAAAGAATTCTCATTGTTGTCAATCTTGTTGGTCATCAAACTGATTGAAGAGTTTAGATCTTCTCGTGGTGATGGTGGTGGTGGTGGTAAGAGATGAGTGATATGATGTTAAAGAAGAAACACAAAGTGCAATGCTAAATTTGGGTTGGTTAAAAAAACTCAAAATCCACTGGTACAATTGGCTAGTTTTCCAAATAACACTAAGGTACAATGCCATAAATGATTAGTTCTCCGAAAAACAAATTATAGAGCAATGCTATAATTGGTTAAATAGGTGTAACATAGTATTAAGTTTGACCAACACTTCATTATTAGTGATCTATATTTTCATTTAGGCAAATCATCAAATAGTTGATATGCGATACTGAAATAACTATAATTTACAAATGAAAATAGATGCTTGTACCAACTGACCACTAGATGTAATTAACTTTTTTGGATCAATGGATTCCAAATTGCAAATCTAGAAACAGAATCCCAATAAATCTTATAAACTTCAACTATAACCACAAAAAAACTAAAAAATGGATTTAGGTCTAACTGATTTTGATTTTAGGTATTCAAATCTGATTTTTTTTCCTTTTTTGGGACTGAATGTGGCGTTGATGCCTTCCTCAATCGATGACAACAGAGGCGAGGTGGATCAGTGAAGGTTGCCAACAAGGTGAAGCTTTGGTTGAGCGGTGGTTAGGCGTTAGACCGGCGGTGGTGCATAGAACGATGGACCAGGCTGTAGATGAATATGAAACACAACATATAATATGTGAAGCATACATCGAAGTTCGGTGTGAGTTGTAACTTATATCGATTGGCGGGTGGTGAGAGATTGGTCAAATTTTTGGGGGAACTTTGAAATCTAAACTATAGCCAAAGTTTGGGGGAGCAGAGTATGTTGGAAATGTCCAACTGAATTAAAAATAAATGTCAACATTTTAATTTTTTAAATTCTAGTTATTATTATTATTAAATTTATTATTATTATTATTATTATTATTATTATTATTATTATTATTATTATTATCATTATTATTATAATTATTATTATTATTATTATTATTATTATTATTATTATTATTATTATTATTATTATTGTATTTTTTTTGTATATGTATCTAAATATGTATGTATGTATGTATATGTGTATGTGAGTTAGTGACATAAATATGCTATTATAAAACAATTAACAAAAACTATACTATTTTTGGAATATGATGTATAAATTTAAAACTATATTTCTATTAATTTGCAACTAATAAATAAAAAAACATTAATGAAATGTGTGAGTCTAGGTGTGGATGCGTATATGGGTATAGGTGGGAGTATGGTGAGGTAGGTATATGTATGGGTGGGTTTGAGTGGATATAAGGAGTGTTGGTGGGGTTATGATTATATATGTGAGTGGGGGTGAAGTGGGTGTGTGTGTGTGTGTGTGTATATATATATATATATATATATATATATATATATATATATATATATATATATATATATATGGGGATTTAGGATAGGGTAGGGTGGGGAGGTGTAGGTGTAGGTTTGTACGTCGGGGTGTCTGGTTGTGGTGACACTTAGTATTTAGGGTTGTGTTGGGTGTAGATATAGGTGGGACTTCAGGCTTAGTTCTTATGACTTAGGACTTCAGGCTTAATGCTTATGACTTATGGTCTGTGGCTTAAGGAGTAGTGCTTATATGTTAGAGTTTAGGGCATATTAGTTATGGTTTATGGCTTATGGCTTAAGTCTTATGATTTAAGGGTTATGTCTTAAGGATTATGTCTTAGGGATTATGCTTAGGGATTATGACATGTGGTGTATGAATTATTTATTATGTATTATGGCTTATGACATATAGACCAAGGCTTAAGGCATATGACTTTTGGTGTATGGATTATTTCTTATGACTTGGGACTTGATGTATAGAACTAAGGGCTTAAGGCTTTTGTCTCATGACTACACACATACCATTACCTCTATACCTACACCTATACCCCTACACACAAATACTTGTACACTTATTCCCAAAAGCTCAAAACATGTCATGTATGACATGAGGCTTCAGAGTTATGTATCACTTAGGTTTAAGTCTTGTCTCTTAGGGGTTAGGGTGTATGGCTTATGGCCTATGTATTAAGGCTTATGGTTTAGGGCTTATGGCTTAAGGATTATGGCTTCAGGCATATAGCTTATAACTTAATAATTATGGTTGCATGGCTTATTGTGTATTTCATATAGATTAATTCTTATGGTTTAGGGCTTAGTGTGTATGGCTTATGGCTTAGGGACTTAAGTCATAGGACTTATGTCATATGGCCTAAACCCTAAACCATTAACCAAAAGCTACAAATCTTAAGCCCTAAACACAAAACATTAATGGAAATAACGTTTGATTTATGAATTTTCTATTTATGTTGTACAAACATTTTTTTGTAGCACTTAACATTTAAGGGTGTTGTTTGTGGTTATACACTTATCATGGGGTATGGGTGGCAATTCACATTTAAGGGTTGGTGTAGGTGTTGGTGAGCGTGCGTAGGTGGGTATGAGAAGATTGTGTATGCGTGGGGGTGTGTGGGTATACACGCATGTAAATGTGGGTTTTGTGTAAGATGTGTGGATATGGGTTTAAGATATGGTAGGGTGTATGTGTGGGGTTTTAGGTAGGTATGGGTGGTTTATGCCTTATGGCTTATGACTTATAACTTATATCCTATAGTGTATGGCTAAGGGATTAGGGCTTATGGACTTATGGCATATGACGTATAGTTTATGGCTAAGGATTAGGGCTTATGGACTTATGGCATATAACTTAGAATTTCGAGAACTATTATATACAAGCCTTAAAAGGTTCAATGTTGTTATGGCTTCGGACTTATGGCATATGACCTAATCCGTAAACCATTAACCAAAAGCTACAAATTTTGAGCTCTAAACCCTAAACATGTATTGGCAATGACGATTGATTTATAATTTTTTCTATTTATGTTGACTAAACATTTTTGTAGCACACATACATACATACATACACATAAATACATATATTTATATAGATACACGTATATACATATACATACATATACCTACAAACAAACTATAATACACATAACACATACAAGTTAATATATTGATTATTTTTATATATAAATAGATTATTTAAAATTTTTGAAGTGAAAAAAATTCAAAATTTTTAAAAATGAAATAAGTTCAAAATTTTCGAAAGTGTAGATTAAATTCAAAATTTTCAAAACTGAAATAAATTCAAAATTTTCGAAAGTGTAGATTTTGTGGCATTATGATCAAGTAATCTTGGAAATTGAAATATCACTCGCCTCCTATTAAAGTTACCCGATTCCTATTAACCCCAAAAAGTTTTTAACTGCTAGGGTTCTCATGCGGTCATAGATGTTTCTTTGCGTTACTTTCCCACCTCTCCGCCCCTCCACCCCCGCTCTGCTATATTGCTTTGTAGCCCACACTAGCCAGACACCACACCCTTCTTCACCAAATAGAGGAAAGCCCTTCTGATTCCGTCGTCTTCTGCCTTCACAATGATGATGAGCTATTCTCGATTATCGTTCCCCCTTGTTCAATTCCAAAAATTTCAGATTCCCTCCATCCAAAAAAATTTAGATTTCATTTCTTCCCTCCTATTTAAACCTAATATCGATTAACTTCGAAAGTTAAAGCGCTTAGGAAAACCAGAAACTCCAATCCTCTCTGCATATACCATGACAACATAGATCTATACCTCCGTTATCGACCATCGCTCCATGGCCGACGCTACCGTCTCCGGTTGTCGCTTGTGACGTTGTTGACCTATGCTGCCCCTGATTTTCTCGACCATCTCTGTGTTTTTCACTGCATCAATGATCCAAGGTCCATTATTGACCATTGCTTCATGGCTCACGCTACCATCTCCGGTAGTCACTCGTTTCGTCGTTGTCCTGCCCCACCCTTGGTATTTTCGACCATTTTTCCCCAATACGTACGCCTACATTTTTTCACCATTTCATTGTATTTTTGGCTTCATACTTGTTTGACGTCAATTCACCAAAAAATTCATACTAAATTGAGAGAAACAATGCGCAAATTAATACTTCAGTGTTTAACTAGTTTCATAAGAATTATGTTTTCCTGTAATGCAGGATAACCTCTTTTATATAGTTCCACTTATCGCAATTGAGACCTACATCAAAGCAATTGAATCTCATTAAATTTTGTTTGAGGTAAGAACACATTGCTACAAATGATAATTTGTTATACTTGATACCTTAGTATACTATGATATTTAGGAAATTTGCTACATTGTGGGTCCCAAATACATAATAATATGCAAGCTGAGTTAGTAGGAGACTATGAAAATCAATTAGAGTATGACTCCTACATTGCTAAATTGGTCATGTTTTTTTGGCAATCTACCCTTTCCATTAGTTGTGGATATTGCATTCTTTTTCTTGATCTCTGATTTCTCTTTATGGGTGTCTATTCATGTGACTGTTGTTTACTTTCTCATGAAAAAGCCTTGTAGTATGCGTTTCTGACACGTGAGATAAATGATATTTCTTTTTCCTAATTAAGCATGAATCATTGATATGATGTTAATTTAATGAAATCCTTTGAGAATAAGAATACATATAGATTTGTGTTGATATTGTATTAAAGCTTCAAGGTCTATAATTGACTTTATTTTACTGAATTGGAAGATGTTGATTGATCATGTTCTGAAACCATCCTTGTTTTGGTTTATGTCTTGAATTTTGTTGCCAATTTATTTCGAATGTTTATGCCCACCACTTCAATTACTTTCAGTTCTCATGAATAAATGTTTCAAATCACTTATTATCCATGATCATGATTGTTATGCTCTCTCCGTAAGGTTCTCTTTAGTGAATAGTGAGTACCCATGATTTTATTTTATATGTTAACCTTCATTCCATGGTGATAAAAGTCTAATGAGTGATATTATATTAAGT